AAAAGAAAAAGAATACTTGATTTACTTCCCTGCTGGATTAACTTGAGGGCAAAAACAAAGAACTATGAAACAACCTTTTAAGAATTAAAAGATAAAACATGAAACAAGCGGCTAACATGAATATGACAGTGACTTTTGTTTTGAGGCAACCATTTAAAATGGAGACATAGAGGCTGGGAAAATAGCTCAGTGGTCTAAGTGCCTGCCTGGCAAGTGTGAGGATCCTGGTTCAACCCCTAGTACCACACACTGTGCCAGCCCCAAAACTGGGATCGCTACCAGTCTGAACTGCATATTGAGACCCTGTATCAAATAAATAAATAAATAAATAAATAAATAAATAAATAAATACTGTAGATAATCTTTAGGTGGCCAACTCATTTGCTGGGACTGGTAAAACAAAGTCCTACAGACTTTGTGGCTTAAGCAACATAAGTTTATTTTCCCCTGGTTTGGAGGCTGGAGAACCACAGTTGAGCTGTCAGCAGTGCTGGTTTCTCCCAATGCCTCCCTCTTCATTACAAACGTCATGTCCTTCCTGCGTCTTCCCATGGCTGCCCCTCTGTGTCCTAATCTCGTCTTCCTACAAAGACACCACTCATGTTGGATTCGAGCCCATCCTAATGACCTCATCTTGACTGAATTACCACTGAAAAGCCTAGCTCCAAATATAGTCACATTCTCAACTGCCAGGAGTCAGGAATTCAATTAGGAATTCTGGTGAGGCCCGAGATGCAGCCCATCACATTGACTTGTTTCACTTCACGTAAGTATCTGGTGGACCTTCAGTGAAGCCAGCACACTGAGGCCATGTTCCACTCACTCCGCAAATCTGCGCAGGTGCCGGGGTCCCCAACTTGTCCAGCAGTGGGTTGTTTCAGAGTGCAAGCATCATTAAATGCACAACGATGAACAGAGATGCTTCATACATGGGGAGTGACACTTGACTCAAACACTAGTCAAGGAGAGAAAGAGGCTTTTCAATAGTTAAAAAATTATAAAAATATAAAAGAAATATTATACGGAAATATATAAGCAACATTTTAAGGGTCCCTTTCCTAGTCTGATTCTCCTAAGAGCACCAGTGTTAAACACGTCAAGGTGTATTTTTCCATATTGAAAATGTTTACCTGTGCAACCCTAAGGTAAAATGTACACATACAGAGACTCCATGTGCACGCATTTTCATAGCTGCTTAACTCTGATCAGTAGACAGTGGGGCACAGCTACCAGGCATAAGGCAACACCAATAACCAGATGTGGCTATACATATATAGTTATCACTTACTGGTTCTATTTCCCTGGAGAACTCTCATACGAGTTGTATAATCAACATATATGGTGAGTGCTTAAATGTTAAAAATTAATCATAGTAAAAAACACATTGCCATCAACGCCCTCTCCAAGTATTCCCCCTTGCCTGATACATCCCATCATTCCTGCCAGTTTCAGAAGCAGCTCTGGAGTTCTCAGTCATGGTGTGGATGCGGCTGCCGAGCGCCATCCAAGGGAATGGCAGGCTTATAACAATATTACTGCGTATTCCCATCCACCTTATTCACCAGATTTGGTGCTGTGTGACTTTGGGCTCTTTCCCAAAATCAACTGACCACAAGAGGTAAATAAGTTCAATCAATTCAGGACATTAAGCGAGTCACAATAATGCAACTAAAAATACTCACAAAAGAGGACTGCTTCAGTCCTTCTTGCCTCTTATCAAATGGCAAGAATGATAGAACAAGCAGATTCAGGCAAGTGGGAATATCTTGAAGGGGATTACTGGCAATGTCTTTTTATTATAACAGATTTTTTTTTCAGATTTAAACATTCACTGTATTGGATCAATAACTTCTCGTACAACGACCAAACGGACATTTCCAAACTCTCTCATTATCCTAGCATGAGGAGATGCTCACTGCCCTTGACTCCAGAATCCAGAGATGGAGATATGGCCTGATCCACCTGAGGTAAGGAAAGGAAGTTGGCTGTGACTTCCGATCCCACCAATCCTTTCCCTATTAAAGGTAAAGTCATCCTAGGCTGCCATGTGCACCCACTCTGACACCCTAAAATAAAAGTTATTCGGGCAATATTTTGATATATAATACCTAATAGTGTGACTGCACCAGTAATTAGCTAGCCATGGTACCAGTGATGGATTTGGGTTATTTCCAGCTCTTAATTATTATGAACTGCAATAATTAATGACTAATAATTACTGGAATGCATTGGAGTTAGAAAATTCTAGTTCTCCAAATACACCAGTAAGTTAGATTTCTATTCATGCATGTAACTTAAGAGAGTTATAATCACAATATATTAAAAACTCCTTCAAATCCATTGAAAAGAGATAGACTTAACAAAAGAAGATATCTATTTGTTTGCATGAAAAATGCTCAACATTCTTTCTCATCAGAGAAATGTTAATGAAGGCCACCATGAGATCTTTTATACACAGACCAGAGTGGCTAGAATTTAAAAACTAAAAATACTGACTATTGGCAGGTGAAACTTTCATACATCAGTGATAGAAACATAAATTGGTACAATCGCTTTGAAAAATGGTCAGTAACTATTAAAGATGACTGCATACATGCCCCATGGCTCAGAAATTCTACTTCTAGGTACATACCCCATGGAAAAAAAGACAGATACACACAGAACCTGTACATAAAGGTTGATTACAGCAGTATTCATAATAATTAAGGGTTGGAGATAACCCAAATCCATCACTGGTATTATGGGTAGCTCAATACTGGTGCAGTCACATGTGTTATTCAACAAAATATGAACATCTGAAAACACATAACCTAGGTGACTCCTACAAATACAAAACTGTAAAAATACAGACAATAAAAGAATACATATGGTAAAGTTCCTTTCAGGTAAGGGCTTTCTAAGGGCACATAGACCTAAGCTGTAGGAAGTCAGAAAGCTGAGGCAGCAGCTCAGTGCACAGGGCTCTGGGTTTGATCCCCCAAACCACAGGGAGAAAAGGCAAAAGCATGGCTGCCTCGGGAGGAGGGAGCTGTCTCAGTGGGGAGGAGAGGCAAGGAAGATCGGCAAGGCCTCTGGGGTGAGCCAGCTGGATTTGCTGCATCGGCTCACTAAGCTGTGCATTTCCCATTCTGCACTTCGCTGGGCTTGTGTTACACTTCAACAAGCGAAGTTTATTAATAAATAAAATGCTCTCAACATGGAGGAGGGGAAGTTTGTGTCCCTGACAAACCATGTGAACTTTATCTTGTGAGAAAGCCAGGGGCTGCTGGCACTTTTTGAAGGGAGGAGGCATATGACTGACCCACACTGCAGGTAGAATGCACTGGAGGTGGGAGAAAGGGAAGGGGCTGTTGGAGAAGAGCTAGAAGAGCTAGGGGGAGCTACAGCAGGAGAACAGGAAAAGGGAAAGATGGGCTGCTCCCAGCCGCTGTTCAGGAGCTAGGTGCATCACTAGAGTAATGTGAGAGTCTCGTGTGTCTTTCCTTGGGACCAGAGGGACCCAGGGCCAAACCCAGTCTTGTGGTGCATCTCAAGGTGCATCGGTGCCCTCCCAGCTGCTCTAGAAGATCCAGCAGGATGATCACAAGTTCAACCCCAGCTTGGGCAATTTTGTAAGACCCTGTCTCAAATATAAAACTTTTATTTTTTTTATTTTTTAATATGTTTTTTATTTTATTTTGTATTTTGGCGGAACCGGGGATTGAACTCAAACCCTTGCGCTTGCCAAGAAAGCGCTTATTCCACTAAGCCATCTCCCCGGCCCCTCAAATATAAAACTTTTAAAAGGGCTGAGGATGTATCTTAGCATTCCCTAGGTTCAATCTCCAGTATCAAAAAAAAAAAAAAAAAATCACAGGATATGAAAATGAAAGACCAAGAAGAGAATTTTGTTTTCCAATACGAGAATTTCCAGGATCAATGTGGACTCACTTGTGTTAAACCCTGTAAAAGATAGAGAGGTACATTGAAGAAGCTTTGATGCATATGCACCTGGTTCCAAGAACTATCATGGAAGACTGCAAGAATGACAGCCTCTTGCGTCTCAGCGAGACTGGACCATGAGTGCCCAAAGATTGGCGAAGCATTATTTCCAGGTGCATCTCAGAAAATGCTTCCTGCTGAGTTTTGTCTTGGAACTGGGGGGGCTCCATAAAATATGTATCTTTCTCAACAAGAGTGGATTCATCCAACCTGCTGAAGGTCTGGATACAATACTCTCCCATAAACACAAGGGATATGTCCCAGGGCCCCAGTAGACCCTGGAATCTCAGGGAACACCAAACCATGTGCAGCATTTTGAGGCCATGACAGGCTGCCTGATAACTAACAGTGCTGCTAAATAACTGTGGGTGGTGAAATGCAGCATAGATGCACTGAACGAAGGGATGACTTGTATCCCAGGGGGAGGGGACAGGACAACATGAGATCTTATCACACTATCAAAACGGCTTGCACATTAACACATGTCAATTGTTTATGCTTAGATTTATCCAACTAGTATTTGTTGGGCCATAGTTGACCATGGACAACAGAAACCTCAGAATGAAAAATTGCAGATAAAGTTGATGAGATAAAATGATGCAGAAAGGGAGAATTTGTTCTGCTTGTCTGTTTGAGCTGGGACATCAGCCGCCTTTTTCCTTGATGTGGAATTCACAGCATAAGCTTCCATTGTTCTCAGCCTTTGAATTCAGATTTTTTACACTACTATCCTTCTTGGGTCTCCAGCTTGAAAATGTGAGATCTGTCAGCCTCTATAACCCTTTGAGTATTATAATTCCTTATAATGAATCAGCCTCTCTGTCTCTCTGTCTATGTGTCTCTGTCTGTGTCTGCCTGTCTGCCTGCCTGTCTGTCTGTCTGTCTGTCTGTCTGTCTGTCTCTCCCTCTTTATGACAGATGCACTGTGATTTGTACTTCACCAGCTGATAGACTGCAGTTGGACTACAGATGCAGATGACATTTTCCCAGGGGCACATGCCAAGGTTGAAAAGGACAGTGCTTTGAGGACATCCACTTAGGATCAGGAGGAAGCAAGCAAACAATACCCCAAAGAGAAGGCAGAAAGGCTGGAGCACAACCAAGAACCTTCTGCCTCACAAGAGCCCAGGCCCAAGCATAGGAGAAAAACGGAAGGAGACACAGCATAAATGAAATCCCAACTTTTCTTCAGGCTAACCCAATACCTTTGAGAGGTCAACTTTTCATATTGACTTGCTTCATTTTTTTGTAGTCTTTCTGTATTATCTGAAAGTTCACTATCTGAGAGAATTACATGTGGAAATTAATCTTGCCTCTAAAAAAGTGTTTTCCAGAATTTTGTGGGGAATTGATAATATCAGTCAGCTGAAAGATGAGCTGTCAGGAAGGAGCAATACACAGCCTCCCTGTAAAGACACGTGTGGCATCACTGACAGCCAAAGAGCAGGCCACAGCTGCTCCAAATGTGGCGCGATGTGAGCTCTCTACCAATCCCTGTGAAGTGTCCTTGCCAGAAATGGCCAACCTAACTCCAGTGATGCTTTCTACCCATTTCCTGGTTGTGGATAAACAAGCTAAAAGAGCAAGTAAAGTCACTCTACAGAAAGCATATAACCAACACAGAAAGCAGGGCATTCACTTTGACAACTGAGCCTGTACTTCAACAAATTAAGATTGTAGAAAGGGCTGGGGTGACAGGAGGGGACAGTGTGTTATTATGAGAGATTATACTAAATATAAAAATGCAATACAGAGTCTTTAATTGGATCTTGGGGTGTGCACAAAAAGACATCTTCAGAAAATTGGAAAACTAAAATATGGATTGATTGGGGAGTTAGACGGATATTATTATTTTTGTCAGGTATAATAATGGGCTAAATATTATGTAAAAGTGAACGGTTCTTTCAGAAGATACATGTTGAAGTATTTATGGAAACATGCCATAAAGCCTATCATTCTCACTTGGCAATAGTGCAGGAAAAATGAGAAAATGTCTTGTTTTATACAGATCTACAATGAAAATACTTAGGGTTAAAATGTTCTGCCCACAGGTTATATTTGAATAATTAAATGCAGTGTTAGAGTGGAGTAAGACATTATCAATGCCCACTACTATCTGGGTCTGCTACTTTGTGATACAACTCTTCAGGTTCTTGTGTCAGCCAGGTCTCAAGACAGGAAAGTGACACACTAGAGCCTTCAAGGCTGGTGCTTTAGGCCAGGCCTGTCATGTCTGCAGTTCACTCTACGGATGATAGTTTTGCTGCTGATATCATAAGTTATGGAGTTTCTGTCAGTGAGGGTCCTCTTGCAGTGACTAACTGAATTCAGGACCCAACTCTCCTAGCCACTGCTGAACACAACATGGGTGAGAAATAAATGTTAGTGTTTCAAAAGCCACTGTAAACAAGAGTGTTACTGAAGTATAAGCTCCTCTTTCCTAACTGCTCCAGTCAGTAAGTATTAAAACTGGTGATGGGTTTATAATATTAATTTGTCCACTTTTCTGACAGTGCTCAAAATAGAGTCTAGGCTATACTTCTTGGATTATTTCAATGAGTCCTTTCCTTATTAAAACCTCCCTGTGCAATACAAGAGCCAAGTCACTATTATGAGAATATACATTTTGGAATGTAAAGTTAGTATTTAGTATTGCTTCTAAAAGTAATTCTGGCTAACAAGGATCAAATTTGGGGAGTTTCAGTTTTTTACTTGTAAAATGAAGAATTCAGTTAACACAACCTTGAGAGTAATTTTCACTTCTTCTTTTTCCAGGAATTAGAACTCAGGACCTTGAGCTTGCCAAGCAGGTGCTTATGCTGCTGAGCTATATCCCTGGCTCCTCCATTTCTAAAATGCAAAGATTCTGTAATTTAGGCATATGGGACCAATTCTTAATTGAATTGTCAATATGTGCACATATATTACATACAGTTAACTTTAAATCAGTTTCCCTTTCTTTGAACGTGTATTTTTTTTCTCAATTGCACTAGCATTGCTTCTTATGTAAGTGTATTTCTAAGAAATAAATTTTAAAAAATAATGAATTTGGAGTTGGGAAAGAAAGCTCCATTTTATAATTGCAAGACCATCACCAGCAATAACAGCCCACGTGAGGCAGCATCCCTTCATGAAGCACTTGAAGAGGCCCACTCGCAACGCAGGGAGCTCAGCGCCTGCCATGTGTAAGATTCCAAGAGAAGGCTGTACACAGCTTTGATTCTGTAGGCTTGTAGCACCATTTTGAGGCAATGCTCAAACAAAAATAACAACCAACAAAGACCATACTGGAGTAGTCTACTTTTTATCTTTAAAAAGTCTAATTCTTATCTTTCATTAGTCCGTGTGTGCGTCACGCAGTGATCACATGCTTCATGGGGAGTTGGCGCGCACACACAATGCATCTCAGCTCCTTCTTCATCCCCTTCTCCTCCTCTCCCTCACCTCCATCCACTTCCTGTGTAGGAGTCTACTTCTAACAGAGCAGCAAGCACTGCCTGCCGAACCTGCCCTCCTCTGGCTCCACATGGAAGGACCTTGACAGACCACCAGCCTGTCTCCTCTCTTCACCTTTTCACTTGTCTCAAGGGGAAAGAGTGACCCTAGTCACTCAGGGAGAAGGGAAGAGGGCTCTGTGGCTCAGCCCCATCCCTCTCCCTCTGTCTTTGGGATCCACATATCTGCAGAAGCATATATGCATTTGTGCTGCCTCTCTATCTTGGGGCTTAGGGTACCTGCTCTGTGCAAAGATGAGGATCAGAGCTCCAACATTCACTGAAGTCATTGTGTCCTTTCAGTGCATGAGCCAAGGCATCATCTCTGAAGTCCAGTGTCAGAAGGCCACATTCGGTAAGATGGAAAGCCACATTCACTATATAAGAGGACCAAAAAGAACATAAATATAAATGTTGGTTCCCTCTCCTTCTGCAGCTGTATGACTCATCCAGTTGGGCTACCGAGTGCACTGTGCATGCTTTGGCATTGCTTGCTAATAATATTCAAGGTTGTTATAAAGAAAGGAGGAAACAAAATATAAGTGCCCAGTTAGCATGTAGCTTGGAAGACATTGGCAGCATTCCTATGATATGTTAAATGAAGAAAGGCAGTTCACAAGCAGAACATGTGAACTAAACACACAAGACAGAGAAGAAACAGAAAGATACCTAAAATTAATAACCCCAGATAGAAAGATACCACAATGGTATACTTTCTGAACCTTTCTGGATTTCTTAAATGCACTATCTTTTTAAAAAATTCAAGTAAAATCCACAGTTCCTTAGCAGGTTATTGACAAGCCTTAAAGAGACCAGACATCCTTGTCCCATCAGTCTCAGGCATTTCTTCTGATCTCCAGCTCAATCCTGGATTCTAGTTCTCATGAGGTCATGCACAGGGACAGCTGGTGTGACCAGGGCAGACAGAAACAGACACAACACAGCAATCTATCTGAGCAGGATTCAAAGAACTGAGCTGTCCACCCTACTCGCACTCCGCACCAGTCTGCCAAGTAGCCCTATTTCTTCACTGTTTTTCTGTGTTTATTTTAAATGGATCTGCAGTGTCTGTCTGCTAGTGCAGACGGCCTGCTATGTCCAACAACAGGACAGCCCTCAGGCAGGAAATGACCAGAGAACATGCCTCACAGAGAGGCTGGAAGCAGTAGAGATATGAGGGCTTGAGTGGCCCAGGGGCTTCCCTCTCCTGGCAATCCAAGTGGGGGAAGCCAATGGAGTTCCACTGACTACTTGGTATATAGACTTGGGAAGCACCAATTTAAAATAGGCCAGAAGGTGAAACAAAATATAAAATTGGGGTGTGTGACAAAATAATGTTTTCAATGTTAATCTTTAAAGACAAGCACCTCTCTATAGAAACAATTAAGAGTCCACAATGCTGGCTAAATACCTAAAGCAAAATGTAGAAAAAAAATTATTTATTTCTAAAATACATGAATAAATGCTTTTTTAATTCTAATTTTTATTTATTTATTTTTTTGAGTATGTGTGCGTGTGACCTACTCAGCCCAACCTGGGGGTGGGGCTGGTGTGGCATGTGGTGCCAAGGGCTGAACCATGGTCCTTGCATGCTTGCCTAAGATTGCGTAAGTGGAGCTTTTATTTTATTTTATTTTATTTTATTTTATTTTATTTTATTTTATTTTATGGCAGAACCAGAGATTGAACTCAGGCCCTTGCCTAAATTCTACTGAGCTATCTCCCCGGCCTCTGCAGGCGCTTTAGATTACTGAGCTAACTCGCCCAGCCCCCATAGAAAAATATTTTTAAGAAGTAACATTAAACATCATTTAAATAAGTTCTAAAATTTGGTTTTGGTAGATGCAGAAGTTTATAAATGGTGTTAAGACAAGTATAGTAAAACTCCTAGATAGCTCAGCGGACTAAAATGCCTGCTTTGGCAGAGCGTAGAAGCCGGGGTTCGATCCCCAGTGTGCTGTGCCGGACCCACCCCCGGAGTCCGCTGAGACGTCGGTTGAGACTGGGCGTGGTGGCGCACACCTGTAACCCCAGCGTTTGGGAGGCTGAAAACAGGAGGATCACTACAAATTTCATCTACAGTGAGACCCTGTAGACCCTCCCCTAAATTCAAAAAAGAAAAACTCTCATTTCTAAAATAAATAAACAAATAAATAAATACATGTACTTACTAGTATTCCTGATTTAAGAATTATTTTTCTGGTTTTAACTATTGATTGTCAGAAAATAATGACATGTGCCATAAGTCAGTGTTTCACAACTCCTTTTTTTTTTTTTTTTGTTTATGTATTTAGTACAGGGTCTACAGGGTCTCACTACTTAGATCAGACTCATAGTGATTTTCCTGTTTTCAGCCTCCCATACTCTGGGATTATAGGCGCGGCCCAACATGTCCAGTCTCAATCGCCATCTCAGCACACCCCTGGGGTAGGGCCAAGACTGCACGCCCAGAATCGAACCCTGGCTGCTGCGCTCTGCCTAAGCAGGGGCTTTAGTTCTCTGAGCTATCTGGCCGGTCCTCTTTTTCCATATTTTTCCTAAACTATGCCCATTACAATCTGGCAAAAATAATTATGTAGTGATAAAATACAAACAACATTTTCTATTTTAGTTTCAGTAATATTTACCTTCCAGTTTGCACCAAACATATTTAGATTCATGGATATGATTGAGGCAGAACTGTTGTTGAATTAATGTCTGTTTGTACCTACAAAAGTCCTTGGAATTTGCTCCAGTTATGAAATATATATGAATGAAACTAGAGGCCCTGAACCTTTGTCAACATTCTCGCTGTTCACATGTTCTTCTCTCTGGGTTATTACCTAATGTAGCTCCCCCATAACTGTGGCAAAACGCCTGAGATTGTTAGCTTATAAGGAAAAAAGATTGAATTTGGCTCACAGTTTCCAACATTCAGTCCCTGGTCACTTGGCGCTGCGGTTTTGAGCCTGCGGCAGCACAATGCATGATGGGTGGGAGGCCTCGGGGGAAAAGGTCCACTGCGGCATCCCGCTAATGAGGAGGACCTCCATCAGGCCAGCCAGACGTTAGACACTGATCTGTGCAGAACCCTACTTTGAACTGGATGCAAGGAATTTGGGATGTATGTATGCCCTTCAAACTAATGTCATCATCACACTGAAAGAAAAAGAAAAAACTTATCCAGAAATCTCTCTTGTTTCTCTCTCTCTCTCTCTCTCTCTCTCTCTCTCTCTCTCTCTCTCT